GCTCCGGGGCGCCGCGTGGACGTGGCGCGGGGCTTGAGGCGGCTCGTGCCCTCCGCAGATGCCCGAGGAAACCCAGACCCAGGACCAGCCGATGGAGGAGGAGGAGGTCGAGACCTTCGCCTTCCAGGCGGAGATCGCCCAGTTGATGTCGCTGATCATCAACACCTTCTACTCGAACAAAGAGATCTTCCTGCGGGAGCTCATCTCCAACTCCTCGGACGTGAGTGCGTGCGCGAGGTCGGGCCTTGGTTTCAGCGGGCACCCCTCGGCCTGGGCCTTACGTGTTCTCCACCCCGTACCCCCCCTTTCTTTTTCTTCTAATAATAGGCTCTGGACAAAATCCGATATGAAAGCTTGACGGATCCCAGCAAATTAGATTCTGGGAAGGAGCTGCACATCAATATCATTCCCAACAAGCAAGATCGCACCCTCACCATTGTGGATACCGGCATCGGCATGACTAAGGCCGATTTGATCAACAACCTTGGTACTATCGCCAAGTCTGGCACCAAAGCCTTCATGGAGGCTTTGCAGGCCGGTGCAGATATCTCTATGATTGGCCAGTTCGGTGTTGGATTTTATTCGGCCTATCTGGTTGCTGAGAAGGTGACTGTCATCACTAAACACAACGATGATGAGCAGTATGCCTGGGAGTCCTCGGCCGGGGGCTCGTTCACCGTGAGGACTGACACAGGTAGGCACGGGGAGGAAGAGGCTCCTGTCAGTCAGTGGGGGCGGGGAGCTGCACTGCTGGCCCCTGTGAGTGCTCTTAAAAAAAACCTTGTTTAGGGCTGGGAAGGTCACTCAGTGGTAGAGCGCTTGCCTTGCATGCATGAGGCCTGTGTTCGATTCCTCAGCAACAGATAAGAAAAAAGACAGAAGTGGTGCTGTGGCTTAGGTGGGAGAGCACTAGCCTTGAGGGACAGCGCCCAGGCCAGACTTCAGGCCCCACAACCAGACCCAAAAAGAGAAAAAAAAAACCTTGTTTAGTCACCTCTGGTCTTATTCCTGTAACTAGATTTAGAAGGCTGAGGTCAGAATTGTGGTTCAAGGCCACCCCAGGCAGGAATATCCATGAGTCTCGTATCTTTAACCACCGAAAAGCCAGAAGTGGAGCTGTGGCTGAAGTGGTATAGAGCACCATCCATGAATGGAAAAGCTCAAGGATAGCCAGGTGGCAGTGAGTGGCTCACGCCTGTAATCCTACTCGGAGGCTGAGACCCAAGAATCGTCATTCAAAGCCGGCACCAGCAGAAAAGCCCCCACGAGACGTGTAAGTCTCCATAAACTACTCGAGGAAAAAAAGCAAAGTGGCACTGTAGCTGAAGTAGTACAGCATTACTAGCCTTGGTACAAAGAAACTCAGTGACAGCACCAAGGCCCTGAATTCAAATCTCAGGACCTACATTTTACACTTGTTTGTTCAATATAGCCAGTTCAAAAGAAACATACAATAAAATTGTGTAAGCCAGGCACTGGTGGCTTGCTCCTGTAATTCTAACTACCCAGGAGGCTAAGATCTAAAGATGGTGACTTAAAGCCAGCCTAGGCAGAAAAGTAAGCACCCCTCAAAAACAAGAGGAGCTGGAGTATAGCAGCATCCTTGGGCAAAAAATGCTCAGGGTTAGAGCCCAGGCCTTGAATTCAAGTCCCAGGACTGGCACAAAAGTACACTGCCTGTATCTGTGTCTGAGGATTTAGGTGCTGGGAATTACATGGTGCCACTCTGCTAACACAAATTTTTTTGTTGTGGGGCCTGGACATAGGGCCTGGGCACTGTTCTTCAGCTCAAGGCTGGGGCTCTACCACTTGAGCCACAGCACCACTTCAGGCATTTTCTGCTGGTGGCTAATATGATTCTTGAGGCTGGGTCCCACTAATCTAATCTTTTCTTCTCAGTCTCCCAAGTGGTCCCACAACAAGCATGGGCCACACCCAACTTGATAATGTTCTGTGGAGATGGGAGTCTCACCGTCTCTCCTGCCCGGGCTGGCTTTGAACCGCGATCCTCAGATCTCAGCCTCCTAAGTAGCTAGGATTACAGGCGTGAGCCACCAGCGCCCGGCTTGATAATGTTCTTAAGCCTTTATTTGGCTCCATTTTCCTTCTGCAGGGGAACCTATGGGCCGAGGAACAAAGGTTATCTTGCATCTGAAGGAAGACCAAACAGAATACTTGGAGGAAAGACGAATCAAGGAAATTGTGAAGAAACATTCTCAGTTTATTGGCTATCCCATTACCCTTTTTGTAAGTATTCATGTAACTGCAGAATGAATTTTCCTGTTTGTAAAGTAGCTAAGATAAATATTCTGTTCAGCAGTTTAGCTCAAACTTCAGGTTTTACTATGCATCCTTTTGGGAGCCTAAGCACCCTAGGTGCTGTGCCTAGGATTGCTTGAAAGATAAATATTAATGGAGAAGCTTGTTACAGCCACTTAATGTCACTGTGGTATCATGAAGCAGTGTTTTCTCAAATCCGTGCTTCATGCTTACATACAGCACAAAGCAAAATGACGTTAACGGTTTGCGCTTTGGTATAATGGAGCAAGTGTTTTCAAATCTGTGCTTCATGCTTACATACAGCGTAAAGCAAAATGACTTATGGTTTTTGAAGGTGGAGAAAGAACGTGATAAGGAGGTCAGTGATGACGAGGCCGAAGAAAAGGAGGATAAAGAGGAGGAAAAGGAAAAGGAAGAAAAGGAGTCAGATGACAAACCTGAAATAGAGGATGTTGGTTCTGATGAAGAGGAAGAAGAAAAGAAGGATGGTGACAAGAAGAAGAAGAAGAAAATTAGGGAAAAGTACGTTGATCAGGAAGAACTCAATAAGACAAAGCCAATTTGGACCAGAAACCCTGATGATATCACTAATGAGGAGTACGGAGAGTTCTACAAGAGCTTAACCAATGATTGGGAAGACCACCTGGCAGTGAAAGTAAGTGAGCAATGAATGAGCACTGGAAAGTGAGTCTTGTCTGTGGGCTCAAAGTGAAAACGCTCTCCTCGAGCACAGACACATCTCTGACAGCTCATTGCCCAGCTGTTGATGCTGAACGTTGTGTTTTGTTGCAGCATTTCTCCGTTGAAGGACAGTTGGAATTCAGAGCTCTTCTTTTTGTCCCGCGACGCGCTCCTTTTGATCTATTTGAAAATAGAAAGAAAAAGAACAACATTAAGCTGTATGTCCGCAGAGTTTTCATCATGGATAACTGTGAGGAGCTGATCCCTGAGTATCTGAGTGAGTATGAGCAGGGAGACCGTTTCTGCTTAAAGCCTCTCATCTCCAGGTTCTTTTGAGGGTCTGTTTTGTCCTCCAAGTGACCAGTGCCTTGTCTTTTTTTGCAGACTTCATCCGAGGGGTGGTGGACTCTGAGGATCTCCCTCTAAATATTTCCCGTGAAATGTTACAACAAAGCAAAATTCTGAAAGTTATCAGGAAGAATTTGGTCAAAAAATGCCTAGAATTGTTCACTGAGTTGGCAGAAGATAAAGAGAACTACAAGAAGTTTTATGAACAGTTCTCTAAAAATATAAAGGTGAGTGGATATGTAGTTGGTTTTCAAACAGGCCTTTTTTTTTTTTTGGTTATTAGTGGGGCCTTAACTCTGGGCCTGGGCGCTGTCCCTGAGCTCTTCAGCTCAAGGCTAGCACTCTACCGCTTGAGCCACAGCACCACTTCTGGCTTTCTGCTTATGTGGTGCCGAGGAATGGAACCTAGGGCCTCATGCATGCAAGGTAGACACTCTACCACTGAGCCACCTTCCTAGCCCTGGGCCTCATTGTTCTTAAAAAAAAAATGGTCCTTTCAGCTTGGAATCCATGAGGACTCGCAAAATCGGAAGAAGCTTTCTGAGCTCTTACGCTACTACACCTCTGCTTCTGGGGACGAGATGGTTTCTCTCAAGGACTACTGCACCAGGATGAAGGAAAACCAGAAGCACATCTATTACATCACAGGTAGTGGATGGGCTGGGGAGGTGTTACAGTCATCTGTTGGTTCTTGTAGCTTTAAAGAGGCCATGGATATTTTTGCCCTAACATAAACTAGATGATTAGATGAAGCAAAGCATCTGACCCCTAGGAAATGAGTGAAAGGAACTTTGCAATGCATTTCAGGTGAAACCAAGGACCAGGTAGCTAACTCTGCCTTCGTGGAGCGTCTGCGCAAGCATGGCTTGGAAGTGATCTACATGATCGAGCCCATCGACGAGTACTGTGTCCAGCAGCTCAAGGAGTTTGAAGGGAAGACGTTAGTGTCAGTCACCAAAGAGGGCTTGGAACTCCCAGAAGATGAAGAGGAGAAGAAGAAACAGGAAGAGAAAAAGACAAAGTTTGAAAATCTGTGCAAGATCATGAAAGACATCTTGGAGAAGAAGGTTGAAAAGGTATGTTTTAATACCCACAGGCAGTTTTCTGATCACTATTCCAACAGCGTTGAACTGCCACCATCTTTTTTGTAGATCCTAGCTTCCAAATGGTACTGACGCCTACACTTAAAGATGAAGTACTTCAGACCCATTCATACTTGAGCTCCTATTTTATTCCTTTTAGAGAAGTCTTGAAAGGTTCAAAAATATTTCTAGGCATAATCACCACTGGGCTTTCAATTACAGGTCGTCGTGTCAAACCGATTGGTGACGTCCCCATGCTGTATTGTCACAAGCACATACGGCTGGACAGCGAACATGGAACGAATCATGAAGGCCCAAGCCCTTCGAGACAACTCAACCATGGGCTACATGGCAGCAAAGAAACACCTGGAGATCAATCCCGATCACTCCATCATTGAGACCTTGAGACAGAAGGCAGAAGCTGACAAGAACGACAAGTCTGTGAAGGATCTGGTCATCCTGCTCTATGAAACGGCACTCCTGTCCTCTGGCTTCAGCCTGGAGGATCCACAGACCCACGCAAACCGCATCTACAGGATGATTAAACTCGGGCTAGGTAAGACACTGCAGGCTAGGGCAGTACACGGGAACGGAAGCCTCTAGAGGCAGAAGTTAATTTGGGCCAAACTGGATTTCTCACCTTGCTTTTTTGGGATCTTAATCTGTATATTTATGGGGATAATAGAACAAGAGTGGGGGCTAGGAAGGTGGCTCAGTGGTAGCGTGCTTGCCTTGCATGCATGAGGCCCTGGGTTCGATTCCTTAGCACCACATAAGCAAAAAAGAAAAAACCGGAAGTGGTGCTGTGGCTCAAGTGGTAGAGCGCTAGCCTTGAGCTGAAGAGCTGAGGGATAGCGCCCAGGCCCAGAGTTCAGGCCCACGACTGGACCCCCCCAAAAAAGAAGAGAATGCCAGCCATGTCAGACGGCTTAATTGTTTTTAAGAGCTAATAGATGGCATTTCCCACGAAGGTATTGATGAGGATGACCCCACCGCCGACGACACCAGTGCGGCTGTGGCAGAGGAGATGCCGCCCCTGGAAGGAGACGATGATACCTCACGCATGGAGGAAGTGGACTAGGCCCGTGAGCTCCACACGCACCTTCATTCCCTCTGATGATACCCCCAGGATTGTGTTTATTTTTGTTAACATTTAAAAAGTCTGTATAGCATGACAACTACTTAAAGGGGAGGATAAGATTTCTTTCTACTTGTGATACTGTGACACCGTAGGCGAAGATTAGTAATGCTTTTTTCTAGTTTCACCTTGGTTTTGGACAGGTGAAGATGTTTGTTGTAAGCTCTAACGTGACCGGTTTATGGTCTCAAGTGTTTAGCTATTAAGCCAGATTCCTTAGCAGACCAAATCTTATGTCATTGATGTGTTCTGACACATTACCTTGATGTTTAAAGAAATGTTTTTGTTGAAGTGGCTTGAGTTTCATCAGAGAGGGTCCAATTAGTTTTCCTTCCCTTGTAGTTAATGCTGCATGTACTAGTCCTCTAGAAATATGTTAGGCTGACACAACTTGATGGAACTCCACAGGGCTTGTTTTCCAAAGAAAAGTGTACCATTTAGAGAAACACAAACTTCCCTAGATGTTGTGTTAAAAACATTAAAGCCACTCAACAGAGCTTGTGTGTGATGTAGTGCGCTCACAGTATGCTTTAAAAGGTAGCAAATACAGATGAGTTAAAACAGTGGAAGTGTCCTTATTATGGAGTAGGGTTTCTATCTTGCTGCTTAGAAGGATCTGTTTCAAGCTGGGTTGGTGGCTCACACCTGTCATCGGAGCTAATCAGAAGGCTGAGATCTGAGGATCATGGTTCAAACCCAGCCCAGGTAGGAAAGTCCATGCTGCTTCATCTCCAGTTAAGTTGTGACTCAAGTAGTACAAGTATCATGCTTGAGTTGAGACAGTGACTGTCGAGGTCCCATCCCAGTCCTGGGAACAAAGTACATGCTTAAAAGAACAAGACCCACAGCCAAACAATACAGAAACTATTAAGTGGGTGTGAAGCAGCATGCCTGTATTGGCTGAAGCCAAATGGAGTCATTCTGGGCAATGTACTTTTCTTGCTATTCCTGGGGCTTGAACTCATCCTGGGTCCTGTCCCTGAGCTGCTTTTGCTCAAGGTGAGCATTCTTACCACTTGAGCCACAATGCCACGTCCCATAAAAATCTCAAACCTGCTTTTGCCATGTATCAGTTCAAAGCCAGCCTGCGCTTCAGTTAACTGCCAAAAAAAGGTGCTGTGGCTCCAGAGGTAGAGAGCTAGCTGAGGAACAATGCCCAAGGTCCTGAGTTCAAGGCCTATAACCAACCAAAAAGACATTATTGATCTTCACCAAAGGTAGAAAAGTTGTGGACATGGGTGGTAGTGATAATTACACAACCAAACCACCTCAAGTGCACACTTCAGTGGGCACTGATGGCTCACACCTGTAATTCTAGCTACTCAGGAAGCTGGTATCAGGATCACTGGTTTGAAGCTGCAAGAAAAGCTATGGCACAAGTAGAACACCATGTTTGGGTGAAAAACAAGAGTGCCCAGACCCTGTGTTCAAATCCTAAAACCAGCACCAGAAGGTATGACTTGGAGCTGTGGATCAAGCGGTAGAGCAAAGTAGAGCTGCCTCTGGGGCCCTGCTGAGATGAGCCCTGCCAGCAAGGTGCTGCCACTGAGCTACACCAAGGTCCTGAGTTGGCTTTTTTGTTGTTGGTCATGGTACTTGAACTCAGCCTGAGCCAAGCTCTTCAGCTCAAGGCGAGTGCTCTACCACTTAAGCCACAGCACCTTTTCTGGTGGTTCTGGTTTTCTGGAGGTAAGAGTCATGCATGGACTTTCCTGCCTAGGCTGGCTTTGAACCATTATCCTCAGTCTCCTGAGTAGGATTGTGCATGCGAGTCACCAGCGCACAGCTGTTCTTTTTTCTTGCCAGTCTTGGGGCCTAAACTCGGCCTGGGCTGGGCACTGTCCCTCAGCTCTTCACCTCAAGGCTAGCACTCTACCACTTGAGCCACAGCGCCACTTGTGGCTTTTTCTTTTTGCTTATGTGGTGCTGAGGAATGGAACCCAGGGCCTCATGCATGCAAGGCAAGCGCTCTACCACTGAGCCACCTTCCCCCCTGTTCTTTTTTCTAGTAAAGTTTCACTATTTTACCCAGGTTGGTCTTCAACTCTTGGGCTCACATGTTTCTCCTGCCTTCGCTTCTCAGTTGCTGGAACTGTGAGCTATACCTCTAATCTCTGGGAATTTTGGGGGGGTTGGGATCAGGGTAGGCTCACCATGGAGCTCAAGCTCTGCAGCACTGGCAGGGTTGGCCCTCAGCCCGCAGTGGCACTGCCCCAGCTAATCCAGGAGCAGCAGATCACCACACTCCAAACTGGTCATCCATACCCCGATTTTCCCATTTCCTTACCAAGACTCCATGATTGGCTGAGTCCAACTCATGGGTCTGTCCCAGAGACAAGGGGGAAGAGACTTGTGTCCAGAAGGCCTCAGGAAGCAGGGTTTGGGGGTTTTGTGCCAGTCTCGGCTTGAGCTCAGCTGGGTGCTGTCCCTGTACTTTTGTGTTCAAGGCTAATACTATCACCTTGAGCCATGGCTCAGTTTCCAGCTTTTTGTTGGAGATGAGTCTCTGGGTACAGGATGCTGGTGGCTCATGCTTGTCATCCTAGTTACTCAGGAGGCTGAGATCTGAGGATTGCCGTTCAAAGCCAGTGGGGGCAGGAAAGTCTGAAATTCTGATCTCTGATAAGCCACCAGAAAACTGGAAGTGGCTCTAGCTCAAATGGTAGAATACTTGCCTTAAGCTGAAGAGCTGAGGGAGATAGCACTCAGGCCCAGAGTTCAAGCCCCACAACTGACCAAAAACAAAAAGGTTTCTGGGCTGGAAAGGTGGCTCAATGGTAGAGTGCTTGTCTCACATGCAGGAGGCCCTGGAAGTGGTGCTGTGGCTTATAGTGGTAGAGCTGAAAAGCTCAGGGACAGCACCCAGGCCCAGAGTTCAAGCCACATGACCAACCAAAAAAAGTTCCATGGATTTCCCTGCCTGGCCTTAAACCATGATCCTCAGATCTCAGCCTCCTGAGTGGGATTATATACTGAGCCACTGGCTGGCTGAGAAAGTATTTTCTGACAGAAACCCTAGCAGTTCTTGCATTCTCCATATCTTTCCCTGTTTTGTGGGAATGCAGCCCGGACCGTGCATGCTGGCCAGCCCCTGTCCACCGACCCCAGCCTGGCCTGGCCAGCTTTTGGTGGCAGGCTGCCTATGAGCCTGGGAAGGGAGACCTGAACTCCATTTATTCACTGCTGTCTCCGTGCTCAGGGCAGGTACCTGGCTCATTTGTGGCCCGAATGAGAAGTTGGTTAAGTGCAACTGGTATTTTTTTCCCTTCCTGTATGGATGACAATTGAATAATTTCGTGTTATTTAGGAAACATGTTCCTCCTCCCGCTCAGCTTCCCATCTCTTCAGACCTTTAAAAAATACTGGCAGATTCATTTTCCATGGGAAGGAACGTCACCTCACCTCCCTGGGAAGAACATTCTGGAAAGCCACGTTGTTCTTGATGAGTCACTGAGTATTAATAGCACCACCAAAATCTGAACAAAGATTCCATTATGTGAGTGCAGAGGTGGTGACTGCGCAGTGCCGCCAGCCGGGCGCGCCGTGCAACATTCCTGTCTTCACGCCGCCACAGTGCACCTGTGAAAGTTCCAGAGCTGAAAATGTCCACCTTAAGCCAGGTGCTGGAGGCTCACGCCTGTAATCCCAGCTGTCAGGAGGCTGAGATCTGAGGATCATGCTTTCAGGTCGGCCCCCCCCAAGGACTCCATGAGACTGACATGTTAAAGTGGAGCCGCGGCTCGAGTGACAGCGCCCGCTTTGAGCAAGGGATCTCAGTGCCCAGGCTCTGAGTTCAAGCCCCACGAGGCCAGCAAAAACAATGTCTTTTCGGTAGTTGATTGGGCAGGAGGAGTGTGTGGGAGCGAAGCAGATGTTTCCTGCTCTAGGGGGCCCTGGGGGCGGCCGGGAGGAGCAGCTGGGGCTGCTCAGGTGTGGGGTGAGCGGTGCTGGGCCGGCCGGGGCCTGGTGCAGGACGGCGCTCGGCTGAGGATGGAGAGGCTGAGGGCAGCCACGGGGAAGGGGTGGAGGGCTCGGTGTCCTGCAGCCCCGGTGGGAAGAGTCTGCCGGACTGGGCGGCACGCAGGGCAGGTGCGCCCCTTCTCACCCCCACATGGAAGGTGGGGGCAGGTGGAGGGCCTGTGGGAGGGGCAGGTGCTCTCCAGAAGCTGCCCTGAGGGGGGTCGCCGTGGGGACCCCTGTGACCTCACCGGGGCCTGGGCCCCAGGACCCCGCCGCCGCCACCTCCTCGTGGGAGCAAGATGGACATCCCATCCTGGAGGTAAGGCTGGAGCGAGCGCCTGAGCCTCTGCACTGCTGGGCCATGGCTCTAACCTAATCTATCCGCGCCCCTCCGCCCAGGAGCAGGCCCAATTTGGGGCTCCCTGGGAACAGTGCGAGTGTGGACAGTGGGGTCCACTGGCAGGCAGGTGCAAGGCCAGGGGGGCCAGGTGTATGGCACCCCCCACCCCCACCCCGGGTACCTCTTCCCACAGGGACTGCTGTGCTCTGAGCCGTCCTGGAGGTTGCTGGGTGGAGGATGGCCTCCAGCAGCCAAGGAGGCCCCTGCACACTTTGTGTGACTAAGGGTGTGGACCCCCAAGAGAGAAGAAGTGCTCCTGCGGGATGAGAACGGGACCCCACCTCCCAGATCCTGCAGTGGGGGGCCTGGCTGTGAGGGGGGCGGGAAGGCACCTCAGGTCTGCTGTGACCTGGGCTGCAGCCCTGCCTGTGGGCAGGGGGCCCATGCAGAGCTGGCCCCTCGGTCCCCGGCTGCAAGCCCACAGAGGATTCTAGGGCATCTGGGAATTAGTCCCGGCCATTGGTGCCATCTGGGAGGGCACAGGTGTTTTTCCAAAGTGAAATAAAATTGCATCGAAGTGAACTAGAATTGCATTGGAGCAGCTTCCTGTCCAGGAAGGACTCTGCTTTCTGCTTGTACAAGTTTTGTTTTGTTTTTGTTGGTTGTAGGGCTTGAACTCAGGTCCTGGGCTCTGTCCCTGAGCTTCTTTGTGCTCAAGGTTAGCACTCTGCTACTTGAGCCAC